ATGTCTGCATGAACACTTTGCATATGCAGGACTTTTGCCAGTGTTGCCGTGTGTAGTGGAAAGCAAATGCCAAAAGGTGCGGACATCAATAATGAAAATGTATTTTCATTCTTAATAAATGTTTATTAAAAATGCCTTGAATGCTTAGTTTACAATACCTATAGTTTTGTTTTACCAGAACATCCAACATCCAATAGAATGTCTATAAGTTTCTTTAAGCAATGCTTTTAAATGATGATTCATGTTTTAATATGGAAATTATTCATAAAATTACTTTGGCTTTCCAGTCATATTTATTTTCATGGATCTTGTAAAAAAAAAAGAGTTGTCCAACTCTTTTGTACCTTTTATATGAGAACAGTTGTGTACCTTCATTTCAATTGTATCAGAATAGGTACATAACAGTATCATATAAGGTCTTTAATGTACCATATGAGGTACAACTTTTACAGAGGTACAAAACTGTTCCTTAAGGAACATTAATTGAACCACTGATTATCTTTTTTACTGAGTGTATCAAACTGTATGGGGAGACTCATCAAATGGTAATAATAAACATAAGTTGTAAAAATGGTGACGCAGTGGCGCAGTAGGTAGTACTATTGCCTCACAGCAAGAAGGTTGCTGGTTCGAGCCTCGGCTGGGTCAGTTGGCATTTCTGTGTGGAGTTTGCATGTTCTCCCTGCGTTCGTGTGGATTTCCTCCGGGTGCTCCGGTTTCCCCCACAGTCCAAAGACATGCGGTACAGGTGAATTGAGTAGGCTAAGTTGTCCGTAGTCTATGAGTGTGAATGAGTGTGTGGATGTTTCCCAGAGACGGGTTGTGGCTGGAAGGGCATCCGCTGTGTAAAACATGTGCTGGATAAGTTGATGGTTCATTCTGCAATGGCGACCCCAGATTAATAAAGTGACTAAGCTGAAAAGAAAATGGATGAATTAAATAGTTAAAATTTGGTGATTTGTCCAGAGACTGTTGTGTACACTATGATTTTATATAAAATTCACTTTAATTTGTGATATAATGAAATAATGGTTATAAACAAGTATTTTCTTGTCAAATGAGTAGTGGCTTGGAACCAGAAACAGTATTTAATACATCACCGAAACGTCATGACAAATAGCGGATAGCAACTTAAAGGGGGCGTGACATGTCGAATAGCAGAGAGCATATAATAAAGTATGAGGTGACCTAAACAAATAAATATTCAGAAGTGACTAACAAAATGTTTTGTGTATTTATATCATCTAAATGCAAATTTTGGCAGTTTTATTAGCCTATATCCTGTGACTAATATACTGATACTAACATGTAAATATCTTTATTGTAATTTCAAGGGGCTTTAATGAGATAGATAGATTTCTGTAACTTTCTTAAGAACATCATGTTTAGTGTTGAAACAAAAGAAAGAAACCCAAACAGGTTTAGAACAAGTGGAGCGTGAGGAAATGGTGAGGAAATGTCCTTTTCAGGTGATCTACCAGTATCACAGATGCAGTAAAACATTAACATAACAGTTATTTTTGTGTCTGACCCTCATTGCATGCTAAAATCTGACTAGTCCACCTTAAAACTCAAAACAGCATGCATTAAACCCATTTTGCACCTGCGGACTTGATCATCATCGCCTCTGCTTGTTTACAACTTAATTTGAACTCTTTGAACTTAATTTGAACTGTTTTACTACTTGGGATAATTAATTCTGTCTTTAATTTAGAGATTTTAAAGGTAATGAATATCTTGTAATATTTAATCATTTGTAAATAATGTTGGGGAATTTTTTTTAACCCCATTGTCCAGTTTAGTTAATTTGGCCCATAATTTGTTCATATAATTTCTAAAAAGAAGCCATTTTTTGAGTAACTCAATTAATTAAGCTTTAAATTGCGTCAGTTTTATTTACCATTGTGTCACATGACTAAATTATACGATTTTAATGACAATTTGGAGCACTTTGACAGAAATCTTGCCGATGTCTGTAGGTCTATCCATCCATCCAACAAATTATTAGCTAGAATTTTCATAGATTTGTATATGTAAAGACCACATTCGAACACTTCAAGAATGTGGCCATGTTTGACATTTATATTGTTTTTTTTTTTTTAAATATGTAAAACTTTCACATGCAGTCAACTTTCTCTCAAGTGCTTGCATACTCGTTTGACTGTTCTTATATGACCCACAGAAACAGCCAATAATGGGTATTTACAATTTTTATATATAAACAAGCTCACATATTAGCATGATAATTGTTCTTGAGGCAAAGCTGTAATAACACTATTAAGAGCCCCATTTCTTAACTTTCTCAAAAACCCATAAAAAATTTAAATAAAATATTTCAAGTACTTGATAGGTGTTAATTGACCCCATATGTTTTTGAGGGGGTCTATTATATCCAATTTACATGAAGTAAAATAAGTCTCAGATGTGCTTAGGTGTGCCTATAGTGTGAATGTGATGTTTCAACCAACAGTTTTTTTAGTTGCTTTGGTGCATTTCTCACAACACTATTTACATTTGCACAACAGTTAATGCATTTCTCAAAACAATTAGTCAGTTGTGCATATTCTAGTAGCAGTTTCTCATTCCTTCCAACACATTGCAGACGCTTTTGGGCATGCATCAATTACTTTCATACAACTCTCTGCTATTTATAATATTATCATTTGCTTATGTCATGTCAGTCAAAATTAACTAAATTTGTAAATGCTGAATAGTCATTCCATATAAAACTAACAGTCCTCATATCATTACTTGAGTCATTACATGCAAAAATGATGAACTAGTTGTCAAAATCTATCAAGCTAATTTTATTTAAAAATTTGAATCTTTATTTTCCTGAAAATGTCTTACTGTAAAAATGTAATAATTTACAAATACAGACCAGTGTGTGTTGAAGGTTCAGTTCTGATATGTACTGCAATATTGTATACAGTTTTGCACAGCTCTACTCAATGGAAGTTTATGTTTGTTGTAAATAAGGGTGTATTTATTCTTTTGCACAATGCTGTGAAGAAATTAGAATTGCAACGAGCAAATGCAGTAAAAATGTGAAACATACATATTTAGTGTCTTGTACTCAGATACCTCACTAAATGCAGTGATGTCTAACTTTACCGTAGTTTTAAATTGGCTTTGCAAATAGTATATAGTTCTGTCTTGAACATTTTCAGGAAGTGTCACCAAAATCGGACTTTTTTGCATTTAAAAAATTTACAGAGTAGTGTCATAATGAAAACAGGACTAAGCCATTTGACTATCTTGTTTATAAACAATGGTGTAAGGACTTTTTATTTTGATGATACTGACACTTTGATTGACATCAATACTTGCTTTTGAGGAATGAACTGTCCATTTTGAACATGTGACGCGCTTTTGCAGGTTATCATCTAGGTTTCACAGTTTGTACTAATTGTTTTGAGAAATGCATTAACTGTTGTGCAGAAATGCACTAGTGTTGTGAGAAACGCACCAAATTGACTGAGAAAAAACTGTAAAATACACACAAATAATGTTTTATAACTCTTTGAATGTGCCCCTTTTTTGGGAAAATTTTTTGCAGTTTTGGTTACTGTCACTTTAAATTCAAATGAATTTAAATTAGGGCAGAGCTACAAATGCATATGTGTCAGCATAGTGGCAGATTCAAAACAGGACTAAAGTTATCTCTGTGAAAACTTAAAATAGCTCAGAAGAAGTCACAATGTTATTTGTGCGTCTAAAACATAAACTATTATAATGCCTCTTAGGCTACTTCACACTCAGGGATGTCATATGCTAATGAGGGAGAAATCGCTCTCAGAAAAATCACAACTGTTTTTAAACCCTTTATTAAATAAGTTTTGCATAATTGGTCCCCTTTAATTAAAAAAAAAAAACTTTGAGCTTCCCTGCAGTGTGTAACACTGCATTAAGTGAATTTAAACATCCAGTTGAGATTTAAATCTGAAAGTGCACCGTGACTAAAACTATTGATTCTTTAACAAAATAGTCGACTCAGAATTAATTAATTGAGTTGGGTTTTTTGCCACTGTGTGGTTTACTACTGAATGTGTGTCATTGTTAATAATTGGGGTTAGGTTTAAGAGTAGAGCAATATGCTGGTTTTTAACTGCATTTCTTTATTGCTTTCCTGCATTGGGCACTCACATACTCTGTGTGCTACTTAGCTGTGTAGTTACACATCTGTTACACATAGCCGTAATCACAACAGACTGAGTCGGACCAATCGCCGCAGATTAGCTTTGCGATAAGAAGGGGTTTGGGAACGAATGAATCACTGAAAAAATCATATGGGAGTCGTTGGGATAGATATGCAAAAATAAATCCATATTATAAGACAATGAAAGTGTTTTTTGACCTTGCACGCATATCAGCATGTTGTTAGAGACCCCCAAAAACAAAATATGAGCTTTTATAATGCAAAATAGGGGCTATTTAACAGATTGAATTACATTCTTCTAAAGCAAAGCTGTCCAGTTTTTAATTGGATAAATGTAACACAATTTTGTTACATCAGTAGCTCAAAAACTAACATGACTAAACAATAATGTGTTGTTGTTATTTTTTCCGGGCATTTATTCTAAGTGAATCATGTGGCATGAGAAATCTCTTATAACAAAAGAGTAATGTTTAACTATGAGAGCGATTTAGGAATTCAAGAATTCTCATACACCACTGTTTAATTCCAAAAACATTTAGCAACTGTGTTTTTACGTGTCTCATTTAATATCGGACAGAAAGACCTCACACACCTGTAGATGATCTACTTAAGTTTACAAAGCCATTACACATACACATTATTTAAATGCATGTTTGACAAGCTTCAGATTTCAAGAGTCTGAAGAGGTGGGAATTACACCTGACCGAGAGTCGCTGACATGTTCCTTGGGACATTTTCAGACATACAGGTTGCTCAATAAGTGTAGCATGACTGAACAATGAGGGAGTTTACCCATGGACAGAGATGGAGGCGTGCCTGGTTTAAATGTGATGAGAGAGTGTGTAGGTGTGTAGCAATCAAGAATATAAAGCAGGGGCAAGTGTCTGAACCCTTGCAGTCAGCTGTAAATCCTGTAGATGCAGATTATGAAGATCCATATAGTTGGCGTAGCATTGACCATTGCCCTTCTAACAGGTAAGACCCTTTATTGGATAACTATTACTAATAATTCCTTACGAGGGATTTATTTGTTATTGTTGTTGTTGTTGTTGTTGTTGTTGTTGTTGATATTTTTGTGCAGAATTTTGTAAAAAAAAATTGCAAAAAGAAAAAAAACTTCAGATGACTTTGAGAGCATGGTAAATAAAATATCACACATAAAAATACCTTTTTTAAGGTTTTCAATGTAAATACAATTAGAACCACTTGTTTGTTAAACAAATTAAGTATGTGATATTATACATATATTAAAAAATATATATATTTTTTTCATTATTTGCCAGGGGTATAAATAATTTCAGGTTTGTCTTTGCATACACTACAGGCCAAAAGTTTGGGGTCATTTTAATTTTAATTTAATTTGAATTTAAATAAAAAATGTTCTGTTCATTAAAGAGGTATTTATTTAAAAAAAAAAGTTAAACTGTTAAATACTTATTTATTAAATATGTATGTATTACGTGTTGTATGTAGTTTCAAAAGAAATTATTTCTCCAGTCATTATTGCTTTCATTACTATTATCAATTATTATTATTATTATTATTATTATTATTATTATTATTATTATTATTATTATTATTATTATTATTAATAATAATAAATAATAATCATTAATATTAGAGTGATTTCTGAAGTATCATGTGACTCTGACGACTGGAGTAATGATGCTGAAAATTCATATTTAAAATCACTAGAATGAATGATTACATTAAATGATAAACTACTTTTGAACAGTTAATTTATAGTTCATATATATTTCACAATTTGTACTGTATTTTTGATTAAATAAATGCAGCCTTGGTGAGCAGGAAAAGCTTATTTTAAACCATTTTAAAATCCTATTGACCTCAAACCTTTGACTGTTAGTGTATATAGACCATTATCCCTATATCTAAAATTATATATATATAGTAGCCTACACAACAAAAATACTTTTCTTACTTAGATTGTTTGTCTTTTTTCTAGTTCAAATATATATTCAAAAAATCTTTTATAAGTTATATTATTTAAATATATGATTTACTTATATAATTTACTATACCACTTACTATAATTTCATCAATAATAATTTTCTAGACAAGCAAAACATATGGTCTTGTTTTAAGTAATAGGACAATATTAAGTTTTTCCTTAAAACAAGATTATTTTGCTTATCCCACTGGCAGATTATTTTTGCTTGTTTTAATATATTAATATATATATATATATATATATATATTAAATCTAACATTGGGTTACGACAGCCCAGCACTTTTTAAAATCATTTTGCTGAATTTATTAGTAACTCAGTCTGTATGTTGTTTTCTAGGGTGTGACGCACAACTAGATGGTAACCAGTTTTTCAACACATCACTTAAAATAGCCAGATTGTAGTGTTTCTGTGGCTAAAATGTGCATTTTTTATTGTCAGTGTGTGGTACGGCACCTCTCAACTCAAGGATAGTGGGAGGACAGAATGCACCGGTTGGCGCTTGGCCATGGCAGGTCAGTCTTCAAAGAGACGGCAGCCATTTCTGTGGTGGATCTCTCATTAACAACCAATGGATTCTGACTGCAGCCCATTGCTTTCCCAAGTATAAAGACAGGCAACAAGTCCTTTCAAAATACTGTATGTCATTTACCTGATGTGGTTAACAGTTGTTGTCATTTTCCAGCCCTTCGACGACTGGTCTACTTGTATATTTGGGCCTACAAAAACTAGCATCATTTGAATCATACTCGATGTCCAGTGCTGTCTCCAATATCATAAAACATCCAAACTACAATAGTGATACTGAAGACAATGACATCACTCTTCTGCAACTGGCCTCAACAGTGAGCTTTTCGAACTACATCAGACCTATCTGTCTGGCTGCATCCGACAGTACTTTCTTCAATGGAACTTTGGTCTGGATCACTGGATGGGGGAACACTGCCACAGGCGGTAAGCATTTACTTTTACTCTTTTCAATCAGAGTTAGAACATACAGTGTACTCCTGCAGTAGATGACACGGGCTGTTTCTTTTTTCTCTCAGTCAGCCTACCTTCCCCGGGGACTCTACAAGAAGTGCAAGTGCCGATTGTTGGAAACAGGAAGTGTAATTGTCTTTATGGGGTCTCAAAAATCACAGACAATATGGTGTGTGCTGGACTATTGCAAGGGGGGAAAGACTCCTGTCAGGTAATGCTATACTTACCTATACTTTTCCTATACTTATCATTGCGATAAGAAAGATGATAAATAAGAAGAAGGTGTAAAAATATTAACATTTCAAAACATTATTGAGTTCATTGCAAAGCTGATACCTTTTAGATCCTCTCTACTGACACATAGCCAAATATAGTTGGGCTCCCAGTGAAGGGAATGTTCACAGTGCACTTGTATTCAATTTTTGTGTTCACTAACAGATTACTGTTTGGTTTGAATAAGACTTCTGTACTTCAATTACAATGGTTTTGACATTTTAAAATTAAAGTGTATTTTATAAAGTATGAATGGTTACACTTTACAATAAGGTTCATTCGTTAATGCATTTACTAACATGAACTAATCATGAACAACACTTGTACAGCATTTATTAATCATAATTGAACATTTACTAATGCATTATTATCATTCAAGTCCATGCTTGTTAACATTAGTTAATGCACCATGAGTTAACATGAACTAACAATGAACAACTGTATTTTCATTAACAAACGTTTATTAACATGAGTATATACTGTAGTAAATGTATTGTTCAAAGTATGTTCATGTTAGTAAATGCATTACTTAACATTAACTAATGAACCTTATTGTAAAGTGTAACCGTATGAATTAAATACATTTACAGTAAATTTCACCATTAGGGGACATGAAGCATTTTTGCAAGCACTTCTCCAACTGTCAGAGCTTTGTGTTAAACATCTCACTAGGCTGCTGCCATTTTTAAAAAACACAACACTTCTATTGACTGCAACAAAAAAATAAATAAAAAAATTGCTCAGCTTAACTGCTTTGATAGGCACACATCCTTATAAAGAAACAACAGGTAAACATTCACTTGCAACTTTCAATTAAATTCAAGTTAGGGCTAGGGGATTTGGCATAAAATCAAAATCTCGATTAATTTAACATTTTGACTCGATTATGATTAATGAACAATTATTTTAGTTATTTATTTAAATTTTTGCTCTTCATAGTTCACTGACAGGTTTTTTTTACAGTAAATATGCTCACATATTACAAGTGACAGATTTTTGAATATAGGGTGGATAACTTAATTTTAAACTAATTGAAGGAAACACACACTATCTACTGTCTATGATTATTTACTGAACATCAATGTTAAACAATTGAAATTAAAACACAAATTCCCTAATACAAACTTGTCTTTGAAAAAGTAAAAATAAATAGCTTGCACTTTCGGAGACAAAAAAATTAAATAAAATCAACGAGCAGTGTCTAAATAAAATAGCTCTTGTAAATCCTGTTGATAAAAGCAGTGCATTTTTGCGTCTTCTGTAAACAAATATTTTATTGTAAATAATCATTTGAATGTAATGGAAAATATGCTGTCTCAAGGCATATACGGCGCAGCTTCCAATCATTGTCAGTGTAGTGCAAAGTGTGGCTCAAGAGTGGGTCAATCGTCCTACTTGACCAGAGATCAGACGTGACTGCAATGTGACTGCAGAACTATAAATAAAGGCTTAACAGAGTGGGGTCACGTAACTCCACACAGGGTAGGAAAAGTAATAGATAAAATCTTCCTGGAAAATTTTTGATTGATTATAGGTTCTGAATGTTGATTTAGATTAATCACCCAGCCTTAGTTCAAGTTTAATTGTATAGTGCTTTTTACAATAATTATCATTTCAAATCCGCTTCACAAAATGTGCACATCATTACTTTACAGTCAGAATCATAAAGATTAAGAAGTTGTGTCGGGTCGGCATCATCTGTTCATCTGATTGGAGTGGCACTCCACAATCTAGAGGTGGAAATAGAGAATATAGAAAAACAAATAGCAAAGCTGCTGTTCATAATTTATTTGCACAAGAGATATTAATGTAATGTGAAAAAATGCATTTAAAGAGTTCAATTTAACTGTATCATACGTAATGCATTGTCTATATGCTTAACTGAAAATATATATATTTTCATCTAGTTTTAAACTGATATCAGGACAACTATTCCAGAGTTTAGGGGCCAGATATTAAAATGCTCAACCTCCTACAACTTTATTGTGTAATAATCACTTTATAGAAACTACACAGAACCCTCATGAAAGTTCTTAAGATAGACATACTGTACATATGATGAATGTTCATCCAGCTTCCAGCCATACTGGTTTTACATTCGATGACAAGTTTTAGAAAGAAAAAGTACCGCTGAATGCTTCAGGCCATTTCCCTGACAGAACACAGCTGACACTGTAAACTTGCATTGACAAGAATATATTCACACTATTCCTTCATATTATATTTTACAGCTGCAACCTTCAGCTGGAGTAGATCTGCAGAATGGTTTTTACACCTAGTCACTAACTCCCTCTTCATTCGACAGGGTGACTCTGGTGGTCCAATGGTCAGCAAACAGGGCTCAGTTTGGATCCAGTCTGGAATTGTGAGTTTTGGTACAGGCTGTGCTCAACCAAACTTCCCTGGTGTGTATACCAGGGTGTCTAAATATCAGAGCTGGATCCAGCAGAGAATCACCACCACCCAGCCAGGCTTTGTCATGTACAATTCCAATGGTACTGATGGTGACCTGAGTGTAAACTGCCCTGGTCTCCCCACCATTCCCCCCACCACAGCTTCTACAACACAAACAACTACAATGTCAACTACGACTGTCGCACGTAAGTTTTTTTTAAGTAATCCAAATAAACATTCAGAGACTTTTACTGTATATTACTGGTGAGATCAATTCTGCTTTTGGTATCACTTTAGTGATGGTCCATTTGACGCATTTTGTTGAATTTAAGTTACATTGCATCTACATGCCAACTAATTCTCATTAGATTACATGTAGATTGTTAGGTTGGGGTTAGGGTTAGAGTACTTGCAAAGTTTCTTACCGCCAATGATGTCTGTTGAAGCAGCATTATCAGCAGACATTAGCTGACAATCCTCAAATAAGAACATGTTTTAGTCAACAAAATGTGCAACAAGGACCAACAAAACAAAGTCTTACCCTGCTTTTTAAAATTGACTGTTTACTACTTGTTTCAGTCGAAGATACAAACTCAAACAGACATTAGGTCACTATTTGTTTTTATTTCACATTAAAAACTTACACTCATGTTTTAACAATGCTTAAAAGTAAAGTTACTGTTAGGCCATCCCATATTTTGGCAGAAAAGTAAGATGTACGTTCATGATTCTACATTTTTTCTGCTTGTAACCAAGAAATTAGTGTTACGAATGGGTTCATTCTTAAATGGATAGCTGAAAACGAAAAAAATATCTTATTTATTGTGTCTCGTGTCGTCTTAAACCCACTTGAGTTTCTTTTTATTTGTTAAACAAATTAAAATATATCTGAGGGAAAACTGGTTGCTGGCACTCTTTAACTCCCACAGAAAGGAAAAGGGCTTTAGCAGGCAACGGTTAGCAGCAGTTTATTGTGTTTAAAAGAAGAAAGAATCTCAAATAGGTTTAGAACAAGTGGAGGACGAGTAAATGATTGCAGAAATATAATTTTTGTGTAGACTATTACTTTAATGAAGCAGTTAAAAGATTTGGAAAAGCATCTTGTGGCTTGACTTAGACTGACTATGTCAGTAAATCATTGAAAGCCCTTTATCTGACTGTTTAAAATGGCTCTCGACTATTTCCTTCATACAACAAAGAAGACCTTAGATAACTTCAATTATTCATTTATCAACCAAATCTATTTAGGTTTTGATTTTTTAACTTCAGGCATCATGCATTTCAAGATCTAAATTCCAATCTTGATATTTCCACGGTAAAATTTCAGATGACCAGTGATTTATCTTTTCAGAATAACTAAAATACTGGTGTCTGAGATGCCATGAGCCTGATAAAGCCTTACTTCTACTATAAATTAATAGTGCTGCTGAGTAAACAGCCATTGAAATACCTGGAATACTCAAACATGGAAAGTTTTCGTGACTTGTGACTTAGTCATTTGATCATACCCTTAGCTTTTTGGAGTTCTCTATCTGCCATCTGATAAATGAGTTTCAGTAGACACAGAAACCCAACTTGAAAGACTTGACTTTCTGAAACATGACCAAAAAGCCTGTTCTGTGACATATCTCCCACTGCATTTTACGCCTCTCATGGTGCACATTATGCTCTTAAAAGTAAAGGTGCACAAGCTGTCAAGTGTGATACCTTTTTAAAAGGTAAATTATTGTACCATATTGCCATCTTAAAGTCCCTTTATTATAGAATAAAAAAGAAAAACCTTCCATGCAGTATATAACACAGCTCTAAATTAATGAAAAAAACTTGCTGAGTATTACATCTGAAATTGCACCATATATAAAGTTGTTGTTTCTCAAAAATGTTTACTCAAGAATCATTTAAACTTCACTTTAAAACTATTCACAGGGCAAGTTTAACCACACGTACTGTATATGACATATCATAAGTTTATCTCCACATCGTTATTGTATGTTCTGTGAAAATCAGCGTTCACATACCTTTTTACATGATGTGGGAATGTCCAGAGATGCAAAAATATTGGGATTCGGTGCTGGACATTTTATTTCAAGTTACAAAAATGTGTTTCACCAAAGATCCTGTATTGTTAATATTGAATGATAACTCTCAATTTCCCTTAAATGCAAAGGTCTGTAAATTTAGGTTAGCTGCTTCAACTGCTACAAAGAAAATGTTAGTACAGAGGTGTAAACCCCTTTGTGATTTTTCAAGTGAGCATTGGTTACATTCACTATTGTAAATACTGTATCTGGAACTGTCATCAGCATGGATTAACCATACTAAACTGGAAATTCTAACCGTATGCAAAATCTATATATGCGACGTCAAAGAAATCTTGGACACTAAACTCTCATCTGATACTAAGAATGTCAAATTTAAATGTAATTTATTTAATAGCTTGGTCTAAACTACAGTTATTCTGTGTTTCCTGATGTGCTTATAATGGGGTGGGGGAGATGAGGGATATATATATATATATATATATATATATATATAACCTTTCTTAAATGAAGTAAACTTCAGCTAATTTCCAATGTGAAGAGGGTAGAAAGCAGTAAACACTATGAAGGGAACATGTTGATCTGAATACAGTTTCCTATTTGGAGCACTCATTTAACAAGCTGGTTATGTAAATCAAGTGTGTTAAACAAGAAACATGCCAAATAAGCAGTCTCAAGGATGCAGATTGAGAACCACTGCTTTAAGGTATCAATATGGAACTTTCAGGAACAAATGTGTACCTTTTGAAAAGCTACTGCCCCTGCAGTGAAAGCTTGTGTATAGCTTTATGCTTATGAAATACGACTGTTTAGGCCAGGGGTCATCAAACTTGTTCCTGGAGGGCTGGTGTCCTGCAGATTTTAGCTCCAACTCTAATGAAACACACCTGAACAAGCTAATCAAGGTGTTTCATGGTATACTTGAAACATCAAGACAAGAGTGTTGAGGCAAGTTGAAGCTAAACTCTGCAGGGATACCGACCCTCCAGGACTGAGATTGGTGACCCCTGCTTTATTCACATGCTTCAGATTGATAGAATCTGCATCTCACTGATACCTTTCTCTCTATTTCTGTAGCTGTTGTGTGTGGAAGTGCTAAACTGAACTCCGGTGCTGGAGGAAACAGCTTACTTGCATCTCCAGGCATGTGGCCCTGGATCGCCAGTGTTCAGTTTAATGGTAGTCACGTTTGTGGAGGAGCGCTGATCGCTGAACAGTTTGTCATGACCTCTGCTAGCTGCTTTCCCAAGTAAGGCCAGTGATATATAGGAAAAACAGAGATCTGATGATAAGTTAAAAGATTTGATTGAGTAGAGATCTTTTGTTGTTGGTTTTCAGCTCCACCAATGCCACAGGATGGACTGTTGTCCTGGGCCGACTCAATCAGAACAGCTCCAACCCCAATGAGGTCTCCATCAAAGTGGCAAATTTCTCAATGAGCAACAATTCGGGTAACAACGTTGCCGTCCTGCAGTTGGCGGTTACACCAAACTTCACCAATTACATTCAGCCCATATGTGTGGACTTGGGAGGCAACAATGTTGACGCCAACACTCAATGCTGGGCAGCAGGATGGGGATCAGGAGCAGGAGGAGGTGAGCTCAATATCTGTGGCCATGCTATGCTAATCACGAAACCTCATTTACTTAGATTTTTAAACAAATCTTCTCCATTTGAATGTGTTTTTATAGTGAATCAAACTCTTCAGCAATACCAGACTTCTATTGTGAGCTGTGGAAACTCATCCTCAAACAACAGTATTTGTACAACTGCTTTCGACTTACAACAGGCAAGTTGTTTCTGGTTTTGTTTTGACTTTTTTGGTGAATAAAATTACTTAAGGAGAGGGCTATAACCATGGTGGACATTGAACAGAACAAGTATCAAATTACTAAACTGTAAAAGTGACAGTGACCGTGAGTCCAGCTCAGTTAATGTAGAAGGTTTGAATGGAGAAAGAGGGAAGGGTTCGCATGAAAACGGGAGTATCATTACGTGCACTACAGCTGTTTTTTACACCGCAACACAGATGGTGATTCGCAGAGCAGCATTTACAGTGGATCTAAGAGCTGTGTGGACGATTTTCAGTCCATATTATTGTAGTGATATAATTTAGTAACTAAATCATTTTGACTAAGGTATGTCTTTAACTGAAAGAGTACTGCTGACGATAACTAACCATCTGAATAAACATAAACAAAGAACACTGATCACACACTTACCAAATTAGAGACAGGAAAATCAACACCAGCTGGAACCACATCTTTATTTTAAAGAAGATTAGTGGCAAACCCAGGTTTCAACTTTTCAAGACTTGAAAAGCTCTCGGGTAAAAAATGTTCCTTACAAACATATTTTTGTTGCGTGTTAGCAGAGCACTGTAATCCTCACATGTGGGTTCACATGCGAGCTGTGTTCTCATCACAGAAAAATGAAAACGATTTTTTGATTCTGTACATTTATAAACACAACACTGACGACACGTCTCTAAACAATTCTTCTTGTTACGGTTGGCAACACAATGTGGCGTCTCTTTAAACACTGTAAAGGTTATTGCACACTGAATTCAATATCTTTATCTGTAATTATTGTGCGTAAAAAAATAAATTCTACCTCACATTGTATGAATCGCATTGAGAAACTGCTTCGAAACTATCATCTGTCGAACCGTGTTCAACTTTTTTTCATTTTTCACATCTGAAAAAGTGCTTTGAGAGGTGTTTTGACGGTTCAGAGCCACTGTACGGGCAAAAGTCAAAATACAAAATGCTGCCACTTGAGCTCTTTGATAAGGACGAGAGCTCTCCTTTTTCTCTATATAGGCTAGTATTGAATGAACACAATATATAGCCTATTCCTCTTCCTTTTTCTACTTTGTAGAGACTATTCTGAAATGTTTTGTGTTTTTTTTTTTTGGTATTGGATTATTTAATATACATCAAACTCAGTGTGCAAGGTTTGTTTACGAGACAATTTTTTCGCATATGATTATGAAAAAAAATGCATACGAAAATTTCAGATTTCAGTGTGCAAAGACCTTAACAGGTAAAAAGAGTATTCGAAGCTATATCATATTAATATTTATATATTAATATGCATATTAATGAAGTTGCATCTCGTTTACAGTAGAGCGCACTGATTGGTTGGGACCAAGTCTTTTTCATTAATTAATTCTGTAGACTCAATGACATCACTTTGTACTGGCTGGTACAGACAGCGAATCTCCATGACAGTGATAGTGTCCTGATAGTGTCTTGACAGTGTTTTTAGCAACGTGGGACACACACATGACTGTCGACATCTCCAAGAATTGTATTTTGCTGTTTCGTAACATTTTTAAAAAGTTTTCAACATGAAAATTTCAACATAAGGCATTGCTTTAACATTAAAAAAGAATAAAGTATAATTTATGATAGAACTGATAAATGATCAACACTAATATTCAGTAAGTAAACTATTATTTTGGGAGTTTTTTGCCCTTAAGTTTTGTTGTTAGGAGTTTTTCTTTCTTGACTGAATGTGATGAGAAAATAAATATATTATGCTTTTAACATATTAGGCAAAAATATACATTTTATATATATATATACATTTAAAGAAGGATTAATAATTTCAAATATTAAAAATTTATACATTCTAAACTAAAATTAAATCTAGAATTTCCTTAATCTTTTTAAAACTAATTGGTCCACCCAAAAGTTTAACACATGGTAACAACATTGCTTAAGGATAATCAAAGGAACTGCTGAATTCCAGGAAACGCTTCTGAAAAGGAAGTATCTGGGTGTTTTCCTTTTATTTATACTTACAAATTGCCCTATGGGATCTTGATCTCAGCTCAGACAATCCAGGACCTTTCAGTTATTTTTATGATTTGATGTCTGATTTGAAGTTTCTGATACAGCATATTGTTTCAAACTTCAATAATGTTAATGAGCGTTTTTAAATTGCAAAATTGAGTTAAACAACAAAATCTGCTGGAGCAAGCGAGGCAGTGGCGCAGAAGGTAGTGCTGTCGTCTCACAGCAAAAAGGTCGCTGGTTCGAACCTCGACTCAGTTGGCATTTCTGTGTGGAGTTTGCATGTTCTCCCTGCCTTCGCATGGGTTTCCTCCGGGTGCTCCGGTTTCCCCCACATTCCAAAGACATGCAGTACAGGTGGATTGAGTTGGCTAAATTGTCCTTAGTGTGTGAATGTGTGTGTGTATGTTTCCCAGAGATAGGTTGCAGCTGGAAGGACATCTGCTGCGTAAAAAAAAAAAAAAAACTTGCTGGATGGGTTGGCTGTTCATTCTGCTGTGGCAACCTCGGATTGATAAAGGGACTAAGCCGACAAGAAAATGATTGAATGAATCTGCTGGAGCTTAACTCAAGGTCCAATAATTCAATTTAAAATGATAAATAAATGAAAAACACCCATATAGTAATTCACAAGTGGAGACAACTGCTATGGCTTTAATGATGCTAATGATTAACTGATTAAAACATACAAAATTACAATAACACTTTGTAATATTTTACAATTTAAAATAACTTTGCTGTTTATTTTTCTGTTTTCTGCTTATTTCTTATTTTTGTTTTTATTAAAATTAAAAAATGCATATTTTAAATAAATATTTTTGTCATTAAACGAGTCCAGTAGACTATTTATCTTAAAATGAGCCATTCTTTAAAAACTATTAAATCATTTATTAATAAATAAATTAAAAAAATTAAAATATTAAATCTTACTGACTCTAAGTATTTAAATGGTAGTGTATGTTCATGTCAAATTATAAGCCAATAATTTCCACATAACATAAACTCTTTTCATAAACTACACTTTTAAAAAAATGACATTTGCAGTTTGTTCAAACTACTTCTTTAATATAAGCTGAAACAGCACAATTCTTGGATGTTTTGGCGGAAGAACTTAATTGTTTTATGTTAATGTAATGGTAGACACTAGCAACGGTATTGAGGAACCACATGCAGTTAATTAAAGCAAAATCGTGCATGGTCAGGAACAAGAGCAAACTGAAGCATAAGGCAAATCCAAGAAACGTCATCAAAATACACAGGCAAAAGGTCAGGCTAGGAGGCAAGGAATCAAACAACGGTACAAAGACATAAAGGTCAAAACACAGGAAGACTGTGGAAGACGCTTTGTAGTGCTACACAGGGTAAACAAGAGTCAGCAATGTGTGTTGCACAGAGAGATGTCTTTATAGTCGAGTTAATGATTCACTGATGAGCTTCAGCTATGTGTCTTTGTGTATGTCATCATCAGTGATCCGGAACAGGTGTGTGTGAAAAGGTAAAATGGGATTTGTAGTTCTTTTAGTTGCAGTACGTATGGACTAGATGAGAAGTTCCCAAATTTTTCAGCTCGAGACCTCCAAAATAACATCGTCAGTCACTCACAACACCCCCTTTTATCGCTGGTAGTTATAAATATAAAAACCTTTCACACACAACTATAGGCCTATTTAAACACAAGCATATTGACAACACAAAAATGCAACAGTCTAATAACCATATAACATTTTTATAGTCATTTATTAATTTTATAATCAATATCAAATATCTTATTTTTAATGTCAGAAGGTTTAACCTGGCTCAATAAAATCAATCTACTGTAGCTGATGCTATTGCTGAGTGGTTAATCTAAACACCCCAGGGGTCCCAATCCAATGGGGGAAAAAAATTGAAAGGCTGATAGATTTTTATTTGTATGTTGTTGTTTTGGTTTCTTTAGTGTGACAATTATCTATCTTCTGTGGGTTATAAATAAAATATGGTAATTCTAATGTATCTGAGTTTTGGAAATCACCCCCACTTTGGTAAACACTGGACTAGATTGCTGGTGATTGTGACATTAAAATCCACTTAAATTTGTAGTTAACTTAATTCCCAGCAAGCATTTTTGCATTTAATAGACGCTTAATTGACATCTAAACGTAGACAGCTTGGCTAAAACAAGGCCCGTCAGTGAAAATCTAATAGACATCTAAGAACAGCTCAAAACTAGACTAGTCGTCAAATAGACAGATTAGACAGACTTGATATATGTAGTCATTCATTTCTTTTTATTTGATGACTAATATAGTTTTGGCCTATTTTTAGATCGATTAGATTTTCACTGACAGCCCAAATTTAGACTTGTTTTAGCCAGTAGACATCTATTAGACATCTTTTAAAAAAAATAAAAAACGCTTGCTGGGTTTCTTCATGTATTGCCAACACAAATCGATTTTTTACAGTGTATGAAGGTAATAATCCTCTTCACTGTGTGTCTTTCACTCTCTTAGGGTGTTCAAGGTGGTCCACTGATGTGTTTGGTGGGTCAGTCATGGATCCATATTGCAGTATTAACCATATCGAACAGCAACTCAAACAGCAGCATCTCTAACAGTACTCTGAACAACAGTACTCTCAATAACTGCACCGTCAACAACAGCACCGTCAACAACTGCACTGTCAATAACAGCACTGTCAATAACAGCACAAGCAGCACAGGCAGCAAAGGTGCTGACTTGTACTTCCCTGTTAAGGCTCAGGGTGTCCAGATCTTCACTAAAACCTCCAGCTTTTCCACATTCCTGACAGCTGTGATCAGTTCCTTCCCTCAAAAAGCTACAAACACTACAAGTGCAAGTACAAGCGCTCCTTCTGCAAGCACCTCAAATACAACCCAGTCTAATGGCTCACCAGCATCTTTTTCCTCCTGCTATACAGTTTCTGTTTTATTCTCCTCACTTCTAACTCTCCAAATCTTTCACAAGAGCATCTTTTGAGGAAAAACGGCTCACTGTTAGAGTGAATGTGAAATATCCAGACCCATATTAATATGTTTTTCAGTATGCCCCATGACTGATTAGATTGTCATACATTTAGCATTCAAGGCTTTTGTGGAGCATATTCAGTACTAGACAAATGTGAATGTTAATTGATAAGTCAGACCATGAAGATGTTGAGTGTTTGTATACTGTGCAATTACACAAAAAAAATCTGTTAAATAACAGTTACACAAGTTTTTTTTTTTTTTTTAAACAGATTTAACAGTTTATCTTGTGTTTCACAAATTTTGGTAACACTTTATTTTGATGGTCCATTTGAGTATTAGTAGGCTATCTGCGTAATATCTGCTGATACTGCTCCCTCAACAGACATTTAACTGACTGTAAGAAACTTGCAAGTACGAGTCAAACCTACAATAACCACAACCTAACAGTCTACTTATAATCTAATGAGAATTAATTGCAATGTAACTTAAATTCTACAAACGGACCCTCAAAATAAAGTGTGACCCAAGTGTTTTCCATTTATTTCCGGCTCTAAGTTGCATTATGGGATGTTTATCACTGCTTTTGAAATTGACAATTCAACTTAGCGGTTTAACAAAGTGACTTTTATTGACATTTTAGTCGTTTGAAATGTATAAGAAATAATATAAAAAAATAATTAATAAATAATTATTTTATAACATAATAGAAAACATGTCACTTTAAACTATTAAATATATTAATCAAAGTAATGTATTTTAACTTTTCAAGTTGTTGAAAGAATGAAGCATAAATAAACGAGGGAAACATGAAACACAAAACTGCTAATTTACAGAAGTGTAACGATGGTTTACAAGTATTTGCACTGTAATGAGTGAAGCATGTGTTTGTTATGCAGTATGGCACTTTATGTATGTCTCGGTTTGAGTGTTTGGTAACACTTTTGTTCAGGTCATAATTCACGCTATTAACTACACTGTAAAAAAAATTGTGATTTTTACAGTTTATTTCCGGCAGCTGGGGTGCCAGAAAACCCCCCTTAAAATAACGGCTGATAATTTACAGAAATTTACTGTAAAATAAGAGGTTGAATTGCAGAAATTTACCAGAAATTTTTATCTAAAGAAATTTCTGTAATTTAATTTTCGTTATATTACAATAAATTTCTATAATTTAACGGCCGTTATTTTGCGTTTTTTGTTCCCGGCACCCCAGCTTGCGGGAATAAAACGTAAAATTACAGATTTATTTTACAGTGTACTGGATTATTTTTCTACCAATTGTTACGATATTAACTATTCATAAGCAGTTATAAAGTGTGATCTTATTCTGTATCCTTAATTCTACCAAATACCTAAACTCAACTTCTACCCTGCTAAGTATTAATAAACAGATAATTAGTAGTTTATTAAGCTACTGTTAGTGATTTGTTAATACCGTGAAATGTGACCTAAATTGAAGTGTTGCCAAGTGTTTTAGTTGTAATGCTGAACATATATCTAAATGAACCTTAATCTTGCCATGCTCAGGACATACTGTAAGTTAAGTTATATATCATATCTATTTTATTTTATGTTTAAAAGCAAATTTGAAGAATGAAAAGCGTTTCATAATTATTTTTTCGTCCATTTTCTATCTTTTATGTCCTTTCTGAAAAGGGGTTATGGTGATTTCTCATGAAGGAAGTAACTCTTTTCAGCACACTGCTCAAATGTAATTTATATGTACATTTTTTATGTTATGAAGATAATAAAAATGACAAATGAAACCCGTGCTCTTTTTATGTCCATGCCAAAAACCACATTTATGTAGTAAGAATGTGGTTTGGATTGTGCAGAGTCACTGCTGCTGCGGAGTTTACCAGATGCTGTCACAAGATCAACAAAAATACTTCCTGAAACATCTCACAAAACCGGCTGTGCCAGCTAATTCCCCAAAACCTCAAAGATCACTTCATTCCTTTAACCCTAAATTGGGCTTAGACCAAATATGAAGAGAACATGCTAATTTTTTCACATGCTCTAGATTACATTAGATGCTTTGGGCCACAGATCATCAATTGGCTGTGACGGTATTGCTGGGGCCTAGTACAGCTGTTATTAGATATATCCATTGTTAAGTACAATTGTCCTGTCATAATTTGATGCATAATAACAATAATAAATAATTAATTGTTTCATTTCATTCACTATTTGATTATGTTTAAAGTCAACGGCTTTAGTGCACCAGTTCTCTGCCTCCTTTGACTGCTTTAGACCTACACTCAGAACCTTATGCATTTAATTCTTTAACTACGGGGATTTCATGTCCTTCGATCATATAACCAACAGTGGTGGAAGGACTACTGAAAAAGCATACTTAAGTAAAAGTACCCTTGCTTGCCTAAAAATGTAGTGTGAGTCGAGTAAAAGTACCTGTTGTAAATATTACTCAAAGTATAGGAGTAAAAAGTAGCCCTTCTAAAAGTACTCATGAGTAGTGAGTATTATGCTGTTAAAAGTTGATGCATTTACATGTAAGTTCCCTGATTGCTGCAAAGATAAATGATAGGTTTTCTCATTTTCTTACAAAAATGTCAGCCTAAGTCTGCCTGGGCTTGGTGACCTGTTATGTACATTTTATGTTTATTCAAATCATTGGCCGATTATTCTATAAAGACAGATAAGTTTGAGTAATTGAAGTGAGCCATAAATATGCATGTTTGTTTTATAGATTGCGGTGAGTTGTAAAAGGTTGAGAACTCCTGCTCTAGATGATAATTTTCACCTCATGTGGTTTTTTATTCACCTCTATTTGCATGTTTGCACTGGAGGCATCATTCATTTACAACTTAAATGAGCATTTATTGTGAACCCAGCATTAAACAAAAACTTAACAGTGATAAAACTGAAATTCTTCTTGTTGGCACCAAATCTGCATCTCTAAATTTGAGTCTATCTCCCTTACTATAGATGGAACTTGAGTCTCCAAGTCTGGATATTTTCATCTCCGTAATATAAATCGTCTCCGCTCCTCTCTCAGACCACTCTTTATCCTTGTACTTTATCCTCGTACATAGCCTTGTCAACTCACAACAATTCTCTCCTTTATGGTCTTCCACAGAAATCCCTCCATAAGATTCCACTGATCCAGAACTTACATCATTACCAAAACTCCTTCTTTTCACCATAATACCCCCACTTTACAAGATCAGCACTGGCTTCCAATCAAACCCAGAGTAGAATATAAAATCCTCTTGCATACATTTAAGGCCATCCATAACCTCGCACCACCTTACTTATCTGATTTCTTTCATATCAGCACTCATTCCTATTTCCTTAGATCCTCCTCCTCCATTCGCCTCTCTGTTCCCTCTGCCTGTCTCAGCACAATGGGGAGCAGAGCTTTCAGTTACCCTGCTCCCAAACTCTGGAATTCTCTTCCTCCTGGCGTCTGCAACATTGACTCTGTCTCTCTGTTCAAATCCAGGCTTAAAACTCATCTGTTCAAAATAACTTACTCTTTATAATTGCATACTGCATTCTTTATCCTGTCTTTGCATTTTATCATCTGCTCTATTTTCATATTGTCGGATTATTTTTAAATGATTGAATTATGTATATATATATATATATATATATATATATATATATATATATATATATATATATATATATATATATATATATATATATATATATGTTGTGCAGTGACTTTGTGTTTCTTGAAAGGCGCTTTGAATAAAATGTATTACTATTACTATTATTATCATTATTATTATTATTATACTTTTCGACTGTTAAATTCAAATATCCAGTACGCTGTAAAAATGTTGTTGTTTTAACTTAAAACAGTTTGTGCTGCCTTAAACATTTAGGTGTACTTCACTAAAATAGTGAAGTTGTCTTAACTCAGGTTAAAGTTTACAGGACTTGTCATAACAGGTGTAATGTATGTGGTCAAAGTTTAGTTAACTTAAATAGATAAGTTTCTGTAATTAAGAATGCTGATAGGACTTTATAATTCAAGCATAATGGAGATGGTGTAAGTTTAGTGAACTTAAATATTGAAGTTGTCTCTCATTCGCACACACTCTCATACACTATGGCAATTTTGATTCTTCAATTCTCCTACAACACATGTCATTGGGAGAAGCACTCAGAGGAAACCCAAGCGAACATGTATACTCCACACAGAAATGCTAACTGGCCCAGCCACGACTTGAACCAGCAACCATCTTTCTCACTGTGAGGCGACAGTGCTAATCACTAAACCACCAAGCCATGTTACTTACCTTAAATGAGTCAAGATAACTAAATTAGCTCCACTATTGTTTTTAATACTAAAAACAGGTTTTTGAAGTCTGCAAATACAAATTTGACCAAAGAAGCATATATCTGTAAAGAACCTCACACAAACACCACAACATTACAAAGAGAAAATGGCGGCCAGTTTTGCCAGATAAACTTGAATGTTTAGAAACCCAAACGGCAAAAACCCTCCCAAATGCACAAAAACGCCCCCCCAAAAAAGTAAAAACAAGTAGGTGCACACACTTGGTTTTAGTTAAAGATTTAATATAAAGTGCATGTTTAAAACAAACTGATTTACCAGAACAATCTAATTCTAAAACCTGCAGAAAGACGTTTATCGTCTGAAGTCATCCAAAAGTAAACAAATATAAATTAAAGTTGAAGTATTACAATACATAAAAAATCTATACATATACTTGAAGTGGATTTCAAACTGTTTTAAAGTGGGTTTATTTCATTATTCTTTTTATTTTTTTTGTTTTCATTTGCACAAACTTCTACAACTTAAAGCTCAGATGTTTGAAGCAGTCAACTAATACATACGAGTTCAGCTTACTCTCTTTTGTAAAGTAACACATTCAACCCAGATAAGTTAACTTAGCTCAAAATATTATGTTGTAATAACTTTGTGAAAATATTTTTTTAACAGTGTATAGTGACAATAGCAAATGCCTTAAGTATACACATCGGGTTAGTACAACTTTGTAAAATGTTGTGATATTTATCCATACGGTGCTTTTATCTTAGAGTGTAAATAATTTTCTTGTTTTGTAAATCAAGTTGAAAATGTTCAAATCTTAAAAACAGTACATTTTTACAAGTTCTGTACTTTCCCCTACCAAGCAACATAATTCCACGCTCTCTGAAATCTCTAAAAATGTTTTTCACAGCATCTTTTTTTTAGACTTGCACAGATTTGGCAAATGGATGTTTCCTTATAGGATAACACCAACTTTCATATGTCCGAGTCCTCTAAAGTGAACAGTATCTATAATTAATTTTGTTTAAATAACCATTTTGTATCTTTTATCATTTTGTCTTTTATCATTTTGTTGTAATGTAATTTGTTATGAAAGCAGCTTCTGGTAAAATGTGAAATACAGTTTATATGTGTGTTTCAAAGCCAAGTTATTATGAATGCAGTTTAGGATTATGCATATTTGTCATGACAAAGACCACTTCATGCAGTAAGAATGTGGTTTGGATAGTGCAGAGTCACAGTGTTTCTTAGTAAATGTTCATGTAGAATTTTCGTAGAACTGACAATTGGGTGTTTCTTTAAAGTAAAACACCATGTCCCTTATATGTCTAAGTGCTCTAAATGGAAAAGTATCTAATCTAAGATTTATTGTTACATTTTATCAAACTAGAACATACTGAACATTTCATAACATATGGGAATTTCAGGTCAATAAATTAATGTAGTATTATGAGAAAGTATACACTTCCATTCCTAAATGTTTAAAAATCATTACTTTCAACAAAATACTACAAACTGGCTATGTGAAAGAGGTTTGTTTGAAATCTTTACAAAATTGTATTAAGAAATACAAACAAACAACATGTATAATTCAACGCCTTTATCTTTGTTGAAGAATCTTTGACAGCAGTTACAGTGTCTTTATTTAGTATGATACACTGTTTTTAATCAGTTTCTCACAATCTTCTTTGCACTAGCCTTCAGGCTCTGTTAGGTTGAGTGGAAAGTTTTTGTGCACAGCCAATTTAGAGATGTTCAGGGTTTAAGTCTGCCCAGCAGACACACAACATCATAAGATGTTAAAATTAGGTTAGATTTAGGTTTCCAGCATCTAAGAACAATGTTATTTTGATGCCCATAATGATGTCAATTGACGTTGATATTTGGTTGATTTTAGGTTGTGTTGGAAAGTAGCCAAAATCCAACATCAAGCCAACATCTTAAACCACCGTCTTGAATACAACGTCACACCACTACCATGTGTTGCTCACAGTGGTGTAAAGAATACAAAAAAATCATACTTAAGTAAAAGTACTATTACCTGCCTAAAAAAAAAGTATTTTGTAAATATTATTCAAAGTATGAGTAAAAAGTAAACATTTAAAAAGTACTCAAGTGTAGTGAGTTGTGAGTATTATGCTGTAAAAAGCTGATGCATTTACAAGAAATTTGTTTATGTGTGTTAACGTAACATTCTGTAGTGCGTTTAGTTATTGCCCAGCAGGACATAAGGCGTTAATATTAGGTTAGATTTAGCTTGTGACGTCAGGTGACCAAAATTCAATGTCTAGCCAGCATCGAAAGAAAATGTTAATTTGACGTCCAATAACGACGTAAAATGACAATGATATATGGTTGATTTTAGGTTGTTAGAAAGTGACCAAAATCCAACGTCACATTGACATCAAACTCTGACATTTATTTGTCAGGTATGGCAACCAAAATTCAAAATCTGATAGACGTCTTAGTGGTAACGTCGCCACAACATCAAGCTGC